ACACTCTCTTTGCTGGTAGCACTGATGGCAACATCTATGTCTACGAGATCGCCAGATCGTAAAGATAAAGAATCGTCTTGGCGGCGGCGGCGCGTCGTCGGCGTCTGAGGTATTCTGTGAGGAGGCTGTTTGGAGTGGCCAGTTTCCAGTGAGCCAGGGTTCTTTCCATCGGTGGTGTTTTGATCAATTTGAAAGGAGTCCGTACGCAACACGTGTTTATCATGATTAATCACATCATGTATCCCGGAAGGATAGCTTTCCTTTTTGCAGTCGAGAGTTGTTGTAGATGTAGTTGCATGATGGCATCCCTGCGTGGAACTACTAGTACTCGCCGATATTGAGTGTTTCACTGACCTTGAGGAGTGCACGATAGGAGACGATCCTCAGCAGAGTCGGAATTACCACTACCGATGCTACCTCTGATATCCTTACTGATGGCAGAGTGCACTCGAAGGGACTTTAATACTAGGTCTCCGTAACGGAGGGGCGGAGCTTGCTTAGTACGTGTCTACTGGTTCAATCAGTGGACTTGCCCTGTTAAAAATATTTCCGTGCATATCACCTTGAGCTGTTCGAGAAATTGAGTTTTCCGGTTTTTGCGTAAACCTCGGCACATAGCGGAGTTGTTTGATCTATTTGGTGGCTTCTTATGCGACGTAGTCAAGTCAGAATGATTTTGCACGCACGCACAACGCGAAAGTTCCTGTTATTGTGGTATATGCTCCGCTCGCTTCGCTATTCCTCGAACGGACTCGGCGAACGCTTTGTCTATTGGTCTGCCAGAGATGTTCGTGTTCACATGGTGCTACTATTCGACTGCTTGTGAGCCGAATGAGCCGAATCAATTCTCAGTAATCAACATACCAGCATGACCACTGCCGGGAGAAGACAAAAAACATTATCCAGTGGTGACAGTTGACAATGAATTCGATGATCTGGAGGCGTGGATGGGTAGCAGAACTATCATTCCAGTATCATTGTGACACCGATACGGTTCGAGACATATAGCTTACGTCCATGTTGAAGCAGATGATGACATCTCCCGTTCGAGCTTGTACTACCTAGCGGACACGTAGTCACAGCTTTCGTGGGATAGTAGTAGTCGTCTAGCACGTCTCTCGCGCACTTGTCTAGCGTTGTGGAGTTGTGTGGGTTGATGATGCCAACTAGAAAACAACACACAAGCCTGGAAATGATGGAAATCATGTGTTCCGATCTGTTTCCTCCGGGGACTGAGAAGAAGACTCTCAATCGAAGGTATATGAGACCATACCGAGGAGCCCGGAGGAGGTCCTGATGGGCGTTGTATGTCCAAGTGCTCACGTTGCCTACCGACTGGTAGCCGTACATCGACTATACCACTGATGATAAAAACACTTCTATTAAATCGGGTAGAAGGAGGCCACCGTCACCTCCCTGCTGGAGCTATGCGCCGATGATCAGGCCCTTCCGATAAACCTAACAACTGCCCACCTACAGTCGGATGCCGTAATGACTGAGGCTGCCCGCCAACAGGCGTCGGCTAAGAGCAGAGAATGAGGAACCTTCTCCTTAAGAAGCTTACTAGACGGTAAAAAGCCGGTGCAAAGGGATCTCTAGGGAGTACCGTCCGAGAGATTCTATTGGGAGTCTGTCGACGTCCTGAAGGGTTGGAAGAATGTGAAAGTAGACAGCAGAGTTGACTCTACCTGATGAAGCAGATAGATCGATATCATCATCATTGTCCTCTTCAACGACAGAGTCCAGCATGCTACTGCCGATGCTCATCCTCTGGGGATGTTCATCATTGGTCTGGTCGGCTATCAGAAGCATCCACACACGGCGAGAAGCAGAGCGACACTACATCGTCGTTGAGAGAGGCTTAGTCGCTGATGATGTTGGTCCGAAGTTGCTGCTGAAGAAAGGCTGTTGAATCTGAGCCTCTGATGAGTCTGAAAAATGAGCTCCCCAAGAGTCGAACCCGAGACCTCTATCTTACTAGACAAGGCTGACGATTCTCTTGCAGTATGTCGATCTCTGCCATTGATTTACGAACCCCCCCGCCGACGGAGGAGAGGTTGTTCTGGTGAGAAGAGATACCTTTAGTGACTTAGTTGCAAACATCATCACAATGAGCTCAATGATATTCCTCGTAATCTCATCGGCAGGACCACCCACAGCTGATCCAGGCAGACCACACCTAGAGGCAGACCACGACTGATCATCATCTTCTGCTTAGGGCAGTCCCCACCCTCCAGGCGGCTCAAGAGCCAAATTCAAATGTTCTAAAGCCTCAGCGTCATTATTGCCACTCCTGGCCAGCAGCTGTCCAAGCAACGCGTGACCAGCATTCTGCGGGGTGTAGTGGGCACGCATCGATGACTACTGCAACCAACCTCATTGGGTAAGACCTCAACGACCTTTCTTGCATCTTCGATGGCCTCATCTATCCTCCCTCTCGCAGCAAGCAAACGACTCTTTTCGTAGAAAGCGTTGAGATGAGGCCCTTGAGTGACAGATATCAAGTGGCTACTTCCCAACGAGAGGAGAGGTCACCATTCTTTCTTGAGCAACCCTCCCCTCCACATACTGATTCCAATACAGAGAGGGACTCGTCTGTCCGGTCACGAGAGGAGAGTAGAGATGCTAATGCTACCTAATGGGGGGATAGGCCGCGACGGCGTGATGATACAGCTGTGATACCTTGAGGACTGGGTGGTAAGGGTTCACTTCGATGGCTTTACGAAGGTAGCTCTCAGCCTCGTCAAACCTATCCTGTCGACGGCATAGCTGGCTAATCCCGAACCTAGGAAGAGCTGTTCATTACAGCGGCAGGAGTGGAGAAGGACCAAGCTGCGTAGGCAGTGGGGTCCCGTTTGAGGGCTAGGCTATAAGCAAAGGCTGCCTGCTCGAACTGTTCCATACTCGACAGTCTGGCAGTAAGGACACCATACTGGGTTGGAGGATAGGACTGCTATTACTCGTGTCCAATGAGGCAACATACATTGGCATCGCAAGGATTCAACAGTCTCTAAGAACGATAACCAAGTGGCTTGGTTCGAACAGTCGAACATTTCATTCCCACCGCCTTCTCGAGCTTCTGTCTAGCCTCCGCATGGTCCAAGTTGATAGAGTCCGCATTAGCCGCACAGATCCATGACTCTGATCGAAGCCTACCAAACGTCAATACCTGTACAATAGCTATGCAAACCCATGACGACAGGAATGCCTACCCGTCTAGAGAGGTCAACCAGTGCTCTCTTCCTTTTCTCATGCCACAACAGTGTACTATACTTGCCCACACCTTCTATAGCGAAGGGATATGTCGTGAACAATGCATCGAAGCTGAACAGCAACTTCACATAAAGGGATGATTCGATGACCTACAAGGCCTCAGCTTCCTCGTATTCTCCACGATCAAATGCTGCTTCTGCCAGTCTCAAAGTGGTGTACCTTGCAGACGGTATGGTATGATTCATCGTACTGTGGTTATACCTAGAGTCGCGTTGACCTGGAGTCATCCTATCACTGGTTACCATCCGCGCTGATGGCAAGTCAAGATGAGCCGTTGCCTTGTAGAGGTAAGCGAAGCTCTTAACGCAAGTAGCTGATATTGGATGGTGAAGTCGACTGACCTGCAACATCTTGGCCAAGGATGTCACCGTCATGTCGACCATAGGCTCCTCTGGCGGTGTTTGGTGGCGGCGACCTGTATGAACTATACGCTCTACTGTATAATTCAGAACTGCTCCCTACCAGGAGACTTCATCTCCTGTTCTTCCTCCGCCCCCTTCCGTGTAGACTGTAGACCCCTCATGCTTACCGTAGAAGGGATCATAGAGGAGTTGTTGTGAGATACCTGTGAAGGGTGTCAACAGACGCCCAAACCTCTCCATCGTGCATACCGTAATGGTCTCGGAGGAGGCCTGGTTAGGCGGCGGCGGCGGCCTTCGGGCTATACGCTGGTCACTGTATCGAACGTGTGTCGAACGGGATGGGAAGCTTGAAAAGGCCCACCTGATGAGGCTATCAGCCGTTGCTATCATCGTATTTGAAGTGGATGCCGAGGTATACCTGAGAGGCTAATGAGGCCAAGACTCTCCTGAATGTAAGCTGTTTGTAGAGAGGAGGAGGATATTGTGCTAATGGTCATTGGCTGATAGACCATACAAGGTGCTCACCAGCTATTCAGTCTATCAACGCCAAAGCATGTCTCGGGCTCAAGAAAGACCTCAGCTGTGCCTTTCGAATCAGCACCAACTCCTCGGCGTCTCAAGGAGATGATGCGCTCGTATGCTGCAAACATCACCCTAAGAGTCAACAAATGAAATAGTGAGTGAACCCAAGGCCTCCCATTACGGTCCGGCCTCCAGGCTCTTCTCGTATGCGGGAAGAGCTAAATGATACTGAGCGTTCTGAGGATGGCGACGGGAACGGTGGTGCAGAAATAAAGGGAGATACCACAGTTAGGGCATTTACCTTTTCATAAAGCTGACCGAGCAGGAAGGCTCCGGCAGCCCCATTGGCGATGACTAACGGCAGAGTACCCTCCTCATCGTCGTAGCTTAGGACCAACGCCTGCCATATCGAGTTGGAATGATGCAGAGCAGATGTCGACTTACTCGAATGCCCTCCTCAAATCGGCTCAGTATCTCACAGCACTGCGCTAGGAGATGCCTTGCTGGATGGGTCCAGGAGGCTGTTGATGACACTGATAGACTTCCCTGTGACATAATGGTGATAAGTACTCTTACAACAGCCCTGTAGTAGGTAGTAGGCTCTAGCTATCTGATGGTCATGGTATAGCGCTAAAGCTAGGAGGTACTGTCTGAGGAGAGATAGATGAGGTGACGGAAGTCTCCAGACATGCAGATGAAGAGGGAGCCTATGGAAGCCTAGATCATCCGAGTACTCTTCCGAGCTGCTCCCTCTGACCACATACTTACAAGTTTAGGATACCATTAGAGGAGCGTTCCCCTTCCCTCTCTATATCCTGCATCCTTTCAGCATAAAAGATTGCTTGTTGGTAGAGGCGCTGCTCCATGGAGTACTCATAGGTCAGGCGGAGGGCCGATGTCTTGCTCGCCATGGTCTAAAGCCTTTCCGGAAAAATGTAATAATCAACACAATAGCACATGGTGGGATAGGAGAGAGTTATATGCGCATCCGACACCACATAGACTCTTCCTCATGCATATCAAAAGAGCACCCTTCGTCGAAGGGCCTCCCATAGGGCATCTCATCAAACGCACACGTCTCAGACGTGTGTGCGCCCACGTGAACTCTCGCTGTCTCTCCGTCTGTGGTAAGAGGATCTGCCCGCTCCTGTCGGCCAGTCTGTTAGCTGCATTGTATCGATTGCTCGCTATGTAAAAATCGACTCCGTTCGGCCAACGTCAGCTACTTTTTTGTTGTTGTTGTCCGCTAGTACGCCGCACAAGATGCGGCCCTACCTATCGAGATAGACAGTATAAGGCGGGCACGAGAGCCATACTTATCCGTAGCTAACGTGTGCATGCGTCAAACGATCGATTCCATTCAGAGTCTTTCGAGGGATTCTTTTGAGCATTACTGTTGGCACCCCTGCCAACTATGTCGACCGCAGCTGAGTGCCAGAGCCACTAGCATCGACTACGTATAGTATCAAATTGATACTCTCAATCGACGCCCCGATCACGACTTCGAGTAGATCCGGCCACGCTTCCTTCATCCGTCAACTTTCCTTAGAGTTGTTGCGATCTATCAGTAAACTGAAAGAGACGCGAGTAATAGTTCCCGGCTACAGTTGACAGCACATCTGCCCTTTTCATGTCTACCTACTACATCCTATTACAGATGTTACCCCTGGTCATGGGTATTGTCCGCGATGGAAGCGGATGGCCGAATGGAAAATTTAAGCGATCGATCATCATTGGCCTGGACGGTGTGGGTGGATATTACTTGAAGAATATCACCAGAGAGCAAACGCCTGTGCTATGGTACATCTTCCCCGTTCGACTCTTGAATCTGACGCTTTCTTTCAGGAGTTTTCTGGAGTCCCGTGGGAGTTGTTCCGACTTACTCTCCCGTGCGGAATATCCCACCGCAAGTGCGCCCAACTGGGCTTCTGTTCTGACAGGCAGGAAGTGATAACGGCGTCGACCGGAGGACCTACTTGGGATCATCTCAGGCATGTCTCCAGCAGAGACAGGTATTTTGCGTAACGATTGGCACCCTACTGCTCTCCATCCCGAAACTCTGACTGATGGAAGAGTCCCGCCAGTTAGCGGCCAGGGTAGCAGGAAAACAGACTGCTTTTTATCGGGATGAAGTTGGTATCCCAGGGCACATCCCTCCGACGATATTTGCAGTAGCGAAGAAGTACAGCAAAAATATCAAGACGGCATATCTATATAGCTGGGCCTGGATGAGTGAGTGATGGGCTCAAGCCACTCAATCGATTATTGGTATGATCCTTCAGGAAACCTTGTTGATGAGAATGTTGACTACACTTACATGAGTGATGATTTCAATGCTATCATGATAAAACACCGTCCGTGTCAGATGAAAACGATGGCTATACTGCCGGAAGACTGATCGATCAACTCCTGTCTGAGGAGCCCCCACATCTCACCTTTATCCAGCTTTCCGCAGTGAGCATTGCATCTACACAGCATCGTTTCGGACCTTTCCATATATCAGGTTGATAATGCAGGGCATGCTAGTTATTGGGGTTCTCCCAAGTAGGTTCGGTAGGGGTGGCCAAGAAGATGATCTCTTGTCAGGTATTACGAAGCCCTCAGGCTCCAAGACAAGTTTGTAGGGAACATTGTTGGTTCATTGCAGAAGTCACCGCTTGCAGAGGAGACTCTAGTTGTGATCACATCCGACCACGGAGGGTGAGAAGCCGTGGTATCGTACTGTGGCAACAAGTACTACTTTCAGGTGGAGAGCTGGACACCATAGTTATTGGATGCTGCCCACCACACAGATTCCTATTATACTCCACAAATTCGGTGGTAGAACTGCAAAAGCTTGTGCTAAAAAGTTGGCTGAACCGTGGAATATCAAGTATGTGTATGTGTCTGCACTACTGGCTATGACCCCTCCTTAGGGATGTGGCACCAACAGTTCTTGGTGCTATGGGCATACCCGTGACTAAATACCAGAGAGGGCAAGACCATAGCTATTTATTGTAGAGGGTGTGCCCTTTACACGGTAATGGCAGCACTAAACGATCCGTCCTCTCACGGGCACTTGCACGTTTCTAGTGTCTCTTGACCCGTACTTGAGACGAACCACGTAGTGCTATAAGCCCCAACTCAGCCTTAACTCATACCTTCGAAGTTTTTACTCTCGTCACTCTCGGATTGATACCCCAACTGCATCAACTATTGCGTTCCCAAGTCATCACAATGGTCCTTCCTAACCGAACTAACCACTTATATTTCAGCTTATAGTAGGCTTTCAATCGTTCTCTCACTTTTCACGATCATCATAATGCTGATAAATTATCCGTCATCACTGTCTCGAACTGTCTGATCGCTCATTTGCCACGAACCATCGCACCAAGTTCTCGTCATGATAATCAAGGAGTGAGGCATAATCGTAGTGCTGATGGATTGTCACCATTTTAAGGAATCGTACATTCTACTGCTGGATGTACACAGCGGTTTACATGCACGGATGAGGATATGCGCATATCCCTCCCTACGAATAGAACGGCCGAGAGAGTATCGCCCTACGCATAATGCCGGTTAGCTTCCACTCTACACTTACACTCAATGATATACAACACCTGCATGGTAGTACATGTAAAAGTAGATGGTCACCTACGCGGCGTGTCGGTACCTCGCTCAACCAAGCTTATTAATGAGACCTGATAAGGATATCAGGTTCATGCCAATGTGACTCATGGAATCACTCCATGGTTATACTCCGATTGTGATAGCTAGATTACGAAGCGCGGTATCGATTGATATCTAACCTAATACTAATGGACTTACTAGTGTCTCATCATAGAGGTCACGACAGCTACTGTATAGATCATCGATGGAGCCAGACCGGTAGCAGCAGGCTTCATCAATCCTTCTCAACATGCTTATAGCTTTCAATACACATTGTTTTGGACTCCCATCGAATGTTAAAGTTGAGATGATCCCCTTCTGAAGGTCAGCCTGAGAGGATCATCTGAAACCCCCGTTCATCATCATAGTTCTTGATACGAGGTGACCCATGGATGGTAGAAATCCTCACTTCCATAAATATCATGTCCACACTCTTCGACGCATCCAATGCGGATATCTCTTCCTCCTCTGCAGCTTGAAATAACTTCGTATAGGTCGTATTCGCTTTGAAGTGGCAGCTACTCTTCCTCGTTAGCAAGCCCACTCGACATCTATAAATGCTAGTCCTGATATTGATAATATTAACTATAGTGATGATGAACAGTCGTCTCCCTCTCCTACTCCCGAGTTCGACGGGCTCCACCCTGCTCAATGAGCTGCCATGCATTAACAGCAGCGATCTGACATAATCGATTGGTCCTCATCACCGATGGTATGTCATTAGAGGCTTTCGAGGTGAGAGAGTTTCCAAACAGGTGGAGGAACACTCATTGTTATGAGGGTCTACTATGAACGGACAAGGCATGGCAATCCGGGTTATGAGTCTAGAGGAGCATGATGATGGATCGTGGAGAGCAGGAGCAGGGGTATCATCATCATTCAACATCACAAATACTCACCTCCTGTGTAAATCCCTGTTTTATGCCTGTTATCCAGCAAGCATATCTGTTGGTTGGATCCTTATAGTCCATGCTATTGTTTGATATCTACGAGGATTGAGCAGATAACTACATCCAACCTACTACCATCTACCATGGTGATTCGTCTATTGTAGTGTTTCTTCTTCATGGCTTCATTATCAACATCATCATTACTCATTCGAGAGGCATCACTATGATCTTCCACATTATCGATTGATCGATCGATACATAGCGCCTCGGCACTTCTTAATGCCGCGAATATCCCATCTTCCATTTCCACATCGAACTCGTCATCACCAGAGCATATGAGGAGGTTCTCATCGAAATTAGGATTCATAAAGATGACCATATCGACGCTGGCATATCCTCGTAGCCCTCTCTGGCTCAACAACTCCCCCACCCGCCGACCCAGGTCCTCCACAAAGCTATCGTCCTTGCCCCTCAAGCGAGTACAATGTGGTATCAAGGCACAGGTTGGCACATGGTCTAGGAAGATCCCTTCAGAAGTCCCTAAGATCTCAACCCTATCCTCTTGTATAATAAGGTGAACTGATATCTTCCCAAGCTGAACTGATGGAATACCACGGATGGCACCTCCCCATCGTAGCAGTTGTTTAGTGACCCTCTCGGACCTAGGAAACGAGGATGGGAGCTCCGCGAAATAATAGCTAAGTACCTCATATCATCCATCATGTCGTGCAACACTTTTCGGTAATCATCCTAACACAGTCCATCCCCAATGAACAATTGTTACTATACCTACTTACTAGGTATAGCCCACCAAGATCATGATAACAGTAGTCGGGCATCTTGGACATGTTATCGGCCTCTATCATCCACTTACAGCACACCTACATAAGGCAGGGGGAGGGGACGACTAGTGGAGGAAAGGAGAGATTCACTTGATGATACTCCTCACAGAGACCACTCCAATCATCGATTATATCATCCTTATCATTCCATGGTCCACAGCAATACGGTGGTAGATATCTCCTGACCACCAGAGGCAGTAGGATGATATGTGTGGAAGGAGGAGGAGTAGAGCGGCGTGATTGGAGTCTTACTTCAGTGTATCATCCTTTTCGAGCACCTTCATCAAGTCTCGCCAAGAAGTAATCCCACCCTCAGAGGACAATAAAGTTGCTCCAAGATAGCCCGATAACTAACAGGAGCCATTACATGATAGCCTCAAAGTCGCCAACACCAACCCTGTTGCACCACCTGCATATGGCCTTCAGTTATCGGCAAGAGCATACTGCCACCAGTGTCCTCTGTCACCACAAGGGTAGCTTTACCCGCATATCCTGATACTAGATACTTCAATCGTGATAAGAGCTTAGGGGAGCATAAGATAGAGGATAGTAGATCATCACTACAGCGTTCGAAGGGGTCTACACATAGTATCTGATAGCAGCCTCCCGAGAAGTCCTCATCAAGCCCGTTTAGAGCCCACTTGTGCTCGACCCCATGGGTTGGATACTCCTGCCCAATGTAATATCATATCATAATACATCATCATCTCCAATGATACCTCCTCATCATAGAGGAGTATGATCACCAGGTCTAGCCTTTCCTGTACAAGTCGGTATATACTCGATAGGCCCCCTCCACCAACAACATGTATCTCGACTCTTCTGTAGTCCCTTCGATGCTGCCCAATACCCTTTGATAACATTTCTTGCGCCATAGATTTTCGTCCCTCCCAGAGTGTCCAGAGCCTCTCCCTCATCCTACTCCGTGCCAATGTCGATCGCCAGAAACGTTGAATCCTCAGGACTGCTGAGATCATCATCACTTTCTTCCGATCAGAATGTTTCTGCCACATAAACCTTCGCCAACAGGATTGAATGAATTCTATCCTCTTCAACGCTTCCGGTGAATTCCCCTTTACAAATAGACTAACGGTCATGAACAAGAACTATAGAGGTGAAGAGAGAGTCGGCCCTTGGTCGGTTGATGCCATCCCAAATTGATAACACCGAAATCCTTATTGTAGTAACGTGAGTAACTGTTGGTGTGGTATTGACAGTATAACGTATTCAATAGATGGAACAATAATCCCGAGATTATCAAGGCAGCAACAGATCTATCGCCGCTTCTTGGACTTCCTACGCCCTCCACCCAGTACCTACCAATACTACTATTAAAGGGTCATATGAGGCATTGCTCTAGGCATCTCTGTGTAGGGATATATCGATACGGTCATATTAGTGTATGTGATAATCACGCTAATCCAAACACGAACTTCAAGCATTCATCATTACATCTTTCCTTATCCGTTTCTTAGTGACCAAAGCTCCTCCCCCTCCTCCGACAACCTCCTTAGCATCTTCGTTAGTGCTACTCTCCTCCTCCTCCCCCTCCTCATCCTCTTCACCATCATCATCCATACCATCCATTATCTTCATCTCATGCTCAAACTGCTTCCTAGATATCTTACCTAACCACACCACCCCTGCCACCACAATACCCCTCCTCGTCATGTTGTCACCTTTCTTTAGTTTCTTCACCAAAGCCTCCTCACGTTGAAGGGAATCCAATTCATGCTGAGTCGTGGTCCGACGGCACTCCCTCTTCTCAGTACGACTCCGGACAACATCTATCGCAGAGCAACGATGCCGATGACGACCTTGCGCATGCGCGACGCATACTTGATTTTTGACTAATCTTCTCTCGTTTCTTCCTCCGCTCTTCTCGCTCAATCTCCATCTTCTTCAATCGCTCCTGTCGAGCTGCTTCCTTTGTCGCATCAGGGTAAGCGACGGAGTCTGGAAGTACCTATGAAAATACCGTCACCAGGAATCGAACCACCGACCTCGCCATCAAGACTACTTCGGATTGAACGAAGTTTTCAATCTGACGGCCCATGATTTCTTTTACTCGCGGGAGCCTTAAGAGGCTGAATGATGTCGCAACATCGCCTAGATCGAGCTCCTGAGACGAATGAAGATCCCTGGATCGATCCCCGCATACTTCATTCACATTACTTTTATATTGAATACGAAACTAAGCTCGTGCTCAGAGTATCCTCTAACGAACGATACAAAAGCTGCAACTGCCTTATCCAGGAAGTCACCTGCAATAGCGTATAGCACCCACATTCACATCGAAAAGAACTTACGCGATTTCTCGTTGTACGTTTTACGGATATGTTCCAACATCTCAGCTGCGTGCTCTTGAACGTAACTCTCATTGTCGGCTTCATCCTTCCATTTCGCTAAAGATACTCCTCGACACTTGAGGAAGGAGAGGTACCCATCCACCTGTATGCAACAGCAATGAATTATTCGTATCATAATCGATCGGGAGGGCGCGCGCTAATCGCGTTATCATTACCTCGCTGTCTAGCATGCATGCGATTGCCTGTCCCTCCCTTCCAGCCCTTGCCGTCCGTCCAACACGATGGATGAAGAATGATGGAGACTGGGGAAGGTCGAATTGGATGATCCAATCCACCTGATTGAGAACACACTACTGTCATGCGAACGACCCAGGTTCAATTCCCAGACAGATGCTTCCCTCACCTGCGGAATGTCGACTCCGCGAGCTACTAGATCTGTCGCGAGCATGACGTTAGTAGATCCATTTTCCTTCATGCTAACACAGGATTGTCAGTTCTCCACCAATGATCCCCGGATTATTACCCTTCGCTGAATGCTTTATATGCCTTGTGACGAGCTGATGGCGTCATATGACCATGGAGTCGATGGAGGCTTATCCCATGCTTACCACCTATCGAAACATACCCGAGGATCTAACCCCATGCCACCTTCCTATTACCACCCTTCTTCGTCCATACCTCGTTTAATATAGCGTAATGATAGTCAACCGATGCGCATGTAAGGAAGAATACTAATATCTTCGAACCTGTTGAGAATCCATCATCTTTCATCCCTAATCCCCTTACTATTACCCTTAGTTCGAGATTCAACGAACCGTTTCATCCAAGCGAGCTTTTCGCGTTGCGGCATCACTTTATAGTAGTTCTCCAAGCCTTTGGGTAGATCGTACGTGGTGGAAGGATTCCCCACTTCCGTGCTAGGCGAGGAGGATGACGGCCGAGACACTTTAACCTGGGTTCACAAATGCTACTCCGGTTCGATCCCTGGTAAAGGCATTTACATGGACAGGATTTCTCAGACCAGCCTTCCTGACGAGCTGCTTGATCTCAGCACCCGCCAGTGTAGCGGAGAATAGACAAGTACGGCGCTGAAAAGGTCGCCGGTTCGATCCCTGGTCACGGTATTTTCGGTTCAATCTACCTGCTTCGGCAACACGGCGAAGATGTCCGACATATCTTTCTCAAAGCCCAGCGCCAGAAGACGATCTGCCTCATCCAAAACTAAAACCTACGCACAGCGATGAAATACATTCAAGAAACGCTTTTGTCCAATCTTCCGTGCGCAGGTGGTCGAAAGATTCACATGCTGACCTCAGCGGTTTTGATCCTCAACGGACTGTCTACTTCCTTCTCGCAAAGGATGTGGCGAACTCTTCCCGGAGTGCCTGATAACAAGAGGAGGAGGAGGAGAGGTTGCCTTTCCATGTTGCTGAAAAGAAGCTACCAACGAGTATTAACGACGAGCCCTTTGCTCCCTCTATCACAGCACGGTCTGCATGGATGTCTCTACCACCGACAAAGCAGTAACACTTCAATTGGGGATTAGGGTTCGCTGACGAGTAGAGGACGATATGATCATCACAGGTTCGATACCGGCAGCAATATGCATTACCATGGATATACTGCATAATTATATCGTGAATTTGAGTAGCCAACTCCCTAGTAGGGGAGAGTATAACTGCTCCAACACTTGCAGACTCCGGGATGATAAACTCCGAGGAACAATCCTAGTAATGGGCATGTGACCGTATCCAATCGAGCAGCCCATCGGCTTATCACCTCATCCTTCCCAAGCCGATTAGCCATCATCTCCATGATAGGCAAGACAAACGCCAACGTCTTGCCGCTACCAGTAGCCGCCTCGCAGGCAACATCTTTCCGTTGCAAGAATAATGGGATACCCACGGATTGAACCTTGGACCATGACTATTACACTCAGTCGATCTACTAAGCCGAAGACCATCGAAGCCAGAAGCAGAGATGAATTAGGTGGCACAGGGCATCGTACCGGAGTAGGATGGGAGAACCCCAGAGTGTTGTTCACAAAGTCTATTGACTTGTCGTTGAGCCCAAGACTGTCCCAATCGCGTTGTTGATGATGATGACTCTCAAAGCTGGTCATCGCAATGAAGGGATGAGATACAACAACAACCGACGAGAAGGAGGACCGAAAACACTAAGAAGTGGCATCACCTAGGATCGAACCTTGGACCTCTAAATATGTTCCGAGGAACCCATTCATACAACCATCTCAACACAAGACACCTCACAGACGGAAACCCCCGCATGGCAGCATCAACGGACTCTATGTAGTCCAGCAACTCATGGAATACAGCAGAATTGCCTCAACTAGGTATCAGCCCCCTACCGACAAGACTGCCTACAATGGCATCCAACTAGAGATACCCTTTTGAGGACGGACTCTGAGGATGATAGTCCTATTCAATCATATTCAAAGGAGGAATCCTATTGCCACATGGCAGCAGACTACACCGACTTCAATCCGCACATCATACCAGCACATACCCTCCATATCGTGAGGATATATTAGTCTATACAATATGGGAAGCCGATCATCATCAAGCGTAATTGAACACCAATAAGTACAACTTACCGTCTCACTTACCGGCATACTCCCACATACGACTGGTGGGACTACACCACCAGGATTAAGTCAGTGATTGACAGGACTTGTCGCCGCCACCAAGGATCGAACGCCCTACCATCACGTATAGAGCCGAATCTTCCCCTATCCCTCCAGAACTCTGATAAGAGCCGAAGTTCATATCCCCTGATTGGGTGAAGCCTCTTCGTGTTAGTACTCTGTGCCTGCTCTGGATGCCCATGTGACTGCACTCATCATCACCCCACCCAGCTCGGGTGAACAACCTCACCAGATGGATGGATGCTTAATTGAGCTTAACAGCAGCATCATGATGATGAGGAGTAGAGGAGGAATAGATTCGGCCCCTACTATGAATCGAACCCACGACCTTGTCCAACTAAACAACTTGACAACCTCGACCATTCGGGAAGCATATTCGTCAATCATACATCCACTTACACAACCTCATTAAGGTGCTGCTGCCTACCCGTCTTTACTTCTCCTAAGACCTATCCTCAGACCTCCAGGATACCCGACTCGTATCAGAGTCCGGGGATCTCCGAGCAAAACTGAGAGATCTTCCCCGGCTAAAAGCAGGCTATCTCAGGTTCGATCCCCCCATTCGACATCCTACTCCACGACCCTTTTCCCACGACCCTCTCCTTTAAACCGGTCCCGTCTAAAGCCACTCTTTCTACTCTGTGGTGGGCTCCTCGACCTCAGAGCCCTCTTCCTCCTAACTGACTCAGGCCCTTCCTCCTTCCTTATATGCCTCCTTATGGCAGGTGTTCTATCATTCCGACTAACCCCAAGTTCCATCACACTATGGTACGGAGTAGCCGCCGCCGCTACCTACCGCCGCATCCTGGTATCCCTTCTTTCCTCAGACCGTCTTCTACTGCTCTGTCTCTCGTCATGGTGGTGTCGACCCGATCGGCTAAGGGCAGTCAACCCTGCCAGGTTCGATCCCTGCTATCCGCATTTTACCTGCGGCTCCGATCACGTCTTCTCCCATCACGTGATCTCGTCTCTCGCCCATTCGGCTCTGCCTCCTCCTTGCGAGGTGATCGGGACGAGGATCTATCCCTATTGAGGACCCATTTTCGCTGCGCCCCCATGATCGATCATCCATCCTTGCTACCTGCTGCTGCCGCCACGTGTATCACTATGTTGAGATCTCTGCCTTCCTCTGAATGAAGAGTCCGATCCTTGCGATCCTAGCCTAACGAATATCAATGCACTCTAATTATGATCAACAACCATCATAACTACGATTCCTCATTAGACCGTCCAGCAGCAGCAGCAGCAGAAGGTAGCGGCTTCCCACCCGCTGCTGTCGCCGCAGGTAAATTGGTCTCCAAGCCTTGAGACGGTGGTTTGATGGGTCCCCGACGAACTGCAAAAGACATATTGGCACCATGTGTTACCGCGCTCGCCCTGCTGATCGATTTGTCTCACTCACCTCTAGTGTCAAATGCAGGAGCTGTTGGTATGAGTAGCGGCCCTGGTGGTGGAGGAGGGTTAAATGTAGCTTCGGTCTCCTGAACATGTCCAAATTTTGACTTCTGCCTCACTTGACAGCCATGGTTTCCATGGTGGGATATCAAGCATGACTCCTTCGAGGGAGGGCATGAGGTGGAGATAGAGGACGATCCCGATCATGCTTTGTACCTGCTTTGCCGCCGCCGTCGACGCTTCTGCTGCTGTTGTTGCCTTCCTTTGCTCAATCTCTCGCTTCACTTTCTCAGCTTCCTCCTTCTTCCTCATCATATCCCTTTTCTTACGATCAACTAGCTGAGTAGGTACTCCTGCCGGAGAGTCCTACAGATGGTATCAGGTTCAAATCTCGGGAGAGATCATTCCACTCACCTGAGCACTGAGGAGCATCTCCCACAACTCCTCACAGAATGGTGCCGCACCGCGTTGCAGGAAACCCGTCAAACTCAACTGCATCTCCCTAGGATCAACCTAAAAGTATACTCGATCAGCAGCATTAATGATGATGGTCAATGGTTGTTGGTCCGACCTCGGAATGATGAGATGTACCAGTAATCTGCTCGAGTGCATAATCTATCACTATCTCATCCTCCATACCAATAATATCAGTGATTCGATCTGTTATCCAGGGACGTAGGACGTCAACGTTGATCCGATTCAGGTCTACCCGCCTAACCATACGCTTATCACACAGAGTCGGTGGGGACAATGCTCATGACGAATTGATTATTCTATCTATCGCTTCTAGCAGCATACTACTACTTATCGAAGCTTTTAGGAAACTTCATTGTAGCCATTAATTTCTGATCACCAGTTTTCCCCCCCTTGAGGAATGGATCCTGATCCGAAGCCGTGCCTCGGAAATAAGACCCTCCACCTTCCATAGTTAGGAGAAGTAGCAGCAGCAGCTGTACAACAATTACATGCATCAAACGATAATCCAGGGAAAGAGGTGTAACCCAAGAGACATGGGGATAAGGAAAGAGGAGGAACACTTGAGGGAACACAGGAATAGATGTTAGTAAGTGGCGACTACACAGATACAGACTACAGATCATACACATCATCACAACTGTTACGACGGGCAATCAAAAGGGCAATAGCCCTAAACGATAGGCTTTGGGAAAGGGCGTGGGTTCGACCCTCGGCAGATCCCGTTTAACAGCGACAATATTCATATAGCTGGTAGAGTATAGAGGAACAGATAAGAATCTAATAGAAAAGTCGGACAGTACATATAGAGAAGAAAGAGGCAAAGAACAACAACATAGTAAGTAGTACTAAGAGTTGTTGTTGTTGAGTACACTGAGTGTTCTTGTTGTTGAGTTATTGCAAGAGCAGCACGTCGTGATCTCACATAACCCTCAACAGAGCCCTCCTAATAATATTACATAATATATTACGCTGGAGACAAACTATGACAATGTACCGAGAAACGCCAGTAAAGCGTTGACAGAAATCGATCGCGTGATCGATATAAGTCGGATTTCAGCGTAAGTGAGTGCACAATAAGAGTCGATGATGATGGTGATACCAAGGAGACTTTCATAAATGACAATAACTACTACTAGTACAGTTAAATCCTCTAACAGCTCTTTACAAAGCTAGGTGGGCTGAGGAAAGTAAACACATTACCATGACCTGATAATGATAATGATACATATAACTACCCAATGGTATTACCTGTTCTAGTGAGCCTAGTATATCGCTGTTCGGCAGGAGTACCCGTCCGTATGATATCAGCTATATCAGATACTACTTGTACGTTTAAATTGAAGAAGTTGTGACGCAAATCGTGAACATTCTGGTCCATATGTGTAGTATCCATCACATCCACATAATCTTGTCCATATCTTCTACCCGTCAATGGATCAACACATGATATCTAAAGTAATAACCATGTCGATGTTGATGCTCACCAACAATACTCATCAATTACAGCTTCTGGATGTTTCCCTAAGGCCTTCTCATTATTAAAGAGTTCAGCCCATATTAAGGCACCATCTTTAAGATCTGCATATACCGATACACGTTGACAATACTCCAACAGTTGTGGTAGTATCTACTGATGATAGTATTGAGAGTACATTACATCTTCAACCAACCTGTTCATTGAAATGGTCAAGTGGATAGTCTGCATTAACGAATATAACACTAGATAGTAGCATACGTCGAGTATCACACCCACCACCGGCCTCTAGGTCGCAGCATAAGTCATCATCCTCGCTAAAAGGTGCTCCGAAATCAGTCTCTGCAAACAGTATGATATGTCAAAAAAAACAACCGATGGGGGTCTCGAACTCCCGACCTCTACATAAAGAGCCAAACTTCCTCCCACTAGAGTATTATTACGCTTCCGTTGGAGACTGATCATCTCTTGTGGTTCTCCTCCGTTGTGCGTAGATAAGGATGATGATGATGATGGGGACAAAGCAGCATCATGTATACAAGTTATGGTACCCGGGACTCTTGCTCGGATCCGTAAAAATGATCGACGCTCCATCTCTGGTAAAGCCTCACAGAATAACCTAACCATAATCATCAAGTCTAACATCATCATCATGACTGGAGAAGTAGATTATTATTATCATCATTACCTAGCTCCCATCGAATGAACAAGGAAATGGACCCGTAGGAAGCCTGCCTTTCGGAGCTCAAAACGATATCAGACAAGTCACCAGCAAATACTGGCAAAGACCACATCGCCCAATGATAGGTCAATGCCATACCTGTACTGAGTTAACAACAACAACAACATGATGATGATGACACCTTATAGATACAACACATTCCCTACACTTACTCTGGGAGAATATGAATGGTTTAATATAAAGAGGGAATTGGCCCAATGCCATAAGCTGACCCAGCCTTTCCATAGCACTTGATATTTTACAATTGTAACCATGTAAATAGATAAGCGCCTCAGGAGCAGGATCTGCTAATTCCTTTAGTAATGCCTCTGGGAGAGAGCTTTGAGCTACGAGTGGTTGCCCACCTAAAGATGAACATCAGAAAGCGTCATACATGAATCGCTTCGCTCCGCTAAGTATTACCAACAATGTGTACTGGCAGTGACACTGGTGGGCAGTCTTGAGACAAGCTACGGCGTAGAGTGTCCTTCTTACCCAATTCAGCGTAACCAGTAGCCGTATGTCGTACTATAGGGATGATAATACAGTGATGACACTACTAGTATTACATCGCAGCACTCGTCTAACACCATCCTCCTCAAGTGCAGCAGGTGCATGAGGATGAAGGCTGTCATCATTATTATCATCATCGATAGTGTCATCATCATCCTTTCGAGTGGTCGATAGGAACTCTTTTGATATATTATCCCTTTTCAAGGCATCACTGATACGCCACATATCGGTGTCACGTGCCTGGAAATACTCTCAATATACCCTCTACATAGAGCGCCCATTCCTGAGGGCTCATCATCAACAGGATGAATTATGGATGCTCAACAATCAGTTATCGTATGAATGTAGATTACACATCCAAGAAGGATATTGACGGTAACGGATGTAGCTGATGGCGTATTTCTAAGCCTACTCTCAAGGACTCGGAAAAGAGCCCCTGTGAGATGGATGGTGATGAATATGATATTTCCAAAAGACCCCACTCCCTCCCCCACCCTATCCCTCCTCCCTACCACTCGTATATTCAAATGAGGTGCAAGGCCTGGTGACTCCATACCATTAAGAGCTTCCGCACTGAGCTCTCGAAAATCAGGATCACTAAAGTAGTATATTATATGTCGTATTAAATGTTGTATCCTTATTCTTACTCTCCCTTATATTTCCTCAACATATCCTCTACATAATAACTGGCTCCTACGAGTTGTCTGACCTTAGGTAGATGGGAAAAGAAACTTCCTGAGGCTGACGCTTCGACATTAGCAATACCACACCGTAAACCTTGTGGATCTCGGGCAGGAAACCAGAGTTTATCATGTAGACCTACGGGGTCATGGTATCACTCTCCTTTATACCATTACTACTACCTTTCTCCTTTCTTGTACTTGCCCAGAATATTTTACGACTCATGAACATCGATCCGCTACCAAATTCTCTTGATACAAATGGACTTGTTGGGCGACCTATCCAAGAATTGAACCCATGCCCTTGTCGTGTAAAGAGACATATTACCCCGTATCCACATCCCCCGAAGGAGCTCTCCATGGGCCGAGTCATCCATCCACATTCCTAGTCCGTTAGGTAATCCCGCCTCATCCACATGACCCGTAAATCGGCATTTATTCCGGGCGATAGAGAATGGGCCATACCGTTTATAACAGTAACTGCATGAACAGTATCAGGCTACCTATGATGATCCAGACTAGACCTTACTAGTTCGAATCTTGATCATCGCGTCTCATTCTAAACCAATGAACAAGTAACCAATCTGGGCGCATATGTCCGATCATAAATGGATACCCAAAATGTACGACCAACTAAGAGTAAGATGATGATACTCAGTGTATGCTCACTTACATAGGCAACAAACAAGGCTAATTCGATGCATATGATGACAGCAACTATCGTGGTCTCTCTAGAGGAAAGGCCATCCCACTGAAATAAGACATCATCATCAACAGCAACAGCAGCTACTCCTATGTCGCTACTAGTCGTCATCATAGTCGTATTACCCTTGTAGTGTCTTCAGGATCATATGCCCATACCCCCCATACTATACCACAAAAGAATGTGGTCAAAGCCATAGTATGGATGACTGGCTTTAGAAACGCTGTAATGCAAATAATCATCCATACCACCGCAACGAACTGACAACAAAGAGTTGCGTACCCATGATAATCGTGTGTGTCGCGTATTTTCCCATACCACTCCTCCCCGAGATTACACTGACTATGGCCGGAACGAAGGATGTTCTATCGAATCGTTCTTCGGGAGTAAGGTTGGACAGGCTCGGCCAAATGATAAGAATCAAGCTCTTGCTCATTAGATTCGATATCCATATAAATACAACCTGCAAACACCAAGGATCGAACCAGATAGTAATAGGATATAAACCAAGCCCCTTATCGACTATACTACCAGTGCCACAACAATCTCCACCCACGTCCTGAGGGATCCTGAATCGCGTTTATAACCTTGTAAAGACCTAGTCAGCCTTCGACGCTCCATCACGAAGAATACTCCTATAAATATAATACTATAATCTCTAATAGGCATCATAGTACGTTTCATCTCGTGCTCTTCAAGAGTCTCTACAAAATCCGGCCTTGTCGATGCCGATGTTGTTGGTGATAAAGACAAACAACTAGTAGAAGATTTACAACACCTAATGAGGAGGATTATGATATTCCATCCCTCCTCGTTCTTGTAGTATTACACTTCCATCTCCTCGTTCTTATCCTTTATTAATGGTATACCTCTAGAGAGGTTCGAAGAGCTTGTTGTTGCTGTTGTTGTTGTTGTGAATGACAATGGTGCAGCAGCAGCAGCTGCTCCGAAATATGATGATGTATTCATCCTATCTCCACTTGACGACGTTAATGAACGATTTATTAATTGGATAGTCGACAAGGTCAATACAGGATAAGAGGCGGCAAGTAACACTTCTGATATTCAATTCATACAGCACTCAGCACAAAGTATTTTGTGCGGGCAACCCACGCAATCGTGAAACAAGTGTGTAAAAACGTTCGGAATACGTAAAAATTCACTCACACGACATCGTCCGTGGCGTGCTTGTCTCTTCGTGTAGAGTAGATCGTGATAATGGGGGCAAATTTGACATATTTAAACGAGGCCAATACCGATGTGGTGACGGAGTGTGGAGATTGGGTGAGTGAAGGTATTGCAATTGGACTGTTGTTGTATTGTTATGATAGGGACCAATTTCATACTCTGTATCGGGTATGCAGGGATGGAGACGTTCTATGGAAGATGATCATGTTGCATATTGGGATAAGGATAAACGGTAATATTATCACATTAACCTCTTCTATACTATACCTACAGAGTTGGTATCTTTGGTGTATTTGATGGTCATGGAGGTCGAGGTGCAGCAAGATTTGCTGCTCATAAACTTATACATGCTATGGTCAATTCCAAGGCGTAATATTGGTAGTTCTATATCCTAGGGTAGTAGCAACCTTAGATATCAAAATAATGATTATCCTAGAGCTTTACACGATGCCTTTATGGAGGTTGATAGGGAAATGTCCACACCAGATGGAGCTAAGGAGGTAGTAGGACTGTGATAGGAGAGGTATAGGTTATGATGATGATGAGGTTAGGTTATGGATCTTCATAATGAGGATGATAATGATGAACATGAACAGAAGATACTTCTACATCCCTCACAACTACCTCAAGTACTACAACAAATCCTTGGTATACAACAGGTTGGCGAGGCTGAGGGCAATGATGATGATGATGATGATGAGACTGGCGACGATGATGACTATCAGGGAGACGAAGAACAGGGGACCAATTACACTACTACTGAGGTTAGATAGGTTACGGATACTACTACTACTGAGGTTAGATAGGTTAGGGGTACTACTACTACTGAGGTTAGATAGGTTAGGGATACTACTACTACTGAGGTTAGATAGGTTAGGGATACTACTACTACTGAGGTTAGATAGGTTAGGGATACTACTACTACTGAGGTTAGATAGGTTAGGGATACTACTACTACTGAGGTTAGATAGGTTAGGGATACTACTACTACTGAGGTTAGATAGGTTAGGGATACTACTACTACTGAGGTTAGATAGGTTAGGGATACTACTACTACTGAGGTTAGATAGGTTAGGGATACTACTACTACTGAGGTTAGATAGGTTAGGGATACTACTACTACTGAGGTTAGATAGGTTACGGATACTACTACTACTGAGGTTAGATAGGTTAGGGATACTACTACTACTGAGGTTAGATAGGTTAGGGATACTACTACTACTGAGGTTAGATAGGTTAGGGATACTACTACTACTGAGGTTAGATAGGTTAGGGATACTACTACTACTGAGGTTAGATAGGTTAGGGATACTACTACTACTGAGGTTAGATAGGTTAGGGATACTACTACTACTGAGGTTAGATAGGTTAGGGATACTACTACTACTGAGGTTAGATAGGTTAGGGATACTACTACTACT